CAGACCTTCTCCCCCACCCCGAAGATGACCACTCTTCGGGTTCTGCTGCACGTTGCTGCTCACCGTGACTACGAGCTGCACTCTCTCGACTTCAGCACAGCTTTCTTGCAGGGCAGCCTGCACGAGGAGATCTGGCTGCGTCGCCCACCTGGCTTCACTGGGTCTTTCCCTCCTGGTACCCAGTGGAGTCTCCGGCGTCCAGTCTACGGTCTCCGCCAGGCGCCACGTGAGTGGCACGACACACTGAGGACTACGCTCGCGGCACTTGGGTTTGCTCCTTCTACTGCCGACCCGCCGCTGTTTCTGCGCACCGACACCTCTCTGCCGCCGTTCTACATCCTCGTGTACGTCGACGACTTGGTCTTTGCCACAGCTGACACTGCTGGACTCGCCTACGTGAAGTCCGAGCTGCAGAAGAGACACACGTGCACTGACCTGGGTGAACTGCGTAGCTACCTTGGCTTGCAGATCACCCGGGACAGAGCACGCCGCACCATTACCCTGACTCAGTCACACATGGTGCAGCAGGTCCTTCAGCGCTTCGGCTTCACGTACTCCTCGCCTCAGGCCACTCCTCTGCCTACTCGCCACTCGCTCTCAGCTCTGCCTTCGGATGAGTCCGTAGAGTCGAGTGGCCCGTACCCAGAGCTTGTTGGCTGCCTCATGTACCTGATGACCTGCACACGACCTGACCTCGCATACCCTCTTAGCATTCTCGCACGCTTTGTTGCTCCTGGGAGACACCGACCAGAGCACATGGCTGCAGCGAAGAGGGTGTTGCGTTACTTGTGTAGTACGTCGGGCATGGGGCTAGTGCTTGGAGGGCGCAGTCCAGTGGTCCTCACTGGGCACGCAGACGCTTCTTGGGCTGACGACCAGGCTACGCAGCGGTCGTCACAGGGTTACACCTTCAGCCTTGGTTCCGGCTCTGTCTCGTGGCGGGCTACCCGCTCGTCTTCTGTTCTCGGCTCCAGTTGTGAGGCTGAGATCTACGCTGGGGCTATGGCTGCGCAGGAGTTACGCTGGCTCACCTACCTGCTGACCGACCTTGGAGAGCAGCCTCGTTCTCCTCCAGTCCTGTACGTAGACAACAAGGCCATGCTGGCCTTGTGTCGAGAGCAGCGACTGGAGCACAGAACGAAGCACATTGCTCTCCGCTACTTTCTTGCTCGTGAGCTACAGCAGCGTGGACAGTTGCGACTTGCGTACGTGGCCTCTGAGGTCAACACTGCTGATGTCTTCACCAAGGCACTTGCTCCTTGTGATCATCAGCGTTGTTGCACGCAGTTGGGTCTTGTGCCTGTCTTGCCTCACTTGCTCTCCTCTTGACCTTGCTTGTACCTTCGCCTATATATACTCTTGCTCTTGCTTGCTTGACTCTTGTATATCTCTATATATGATCTTGCATGTGAAGTGGCCGTCTGGCCTTTGAACTTGTGCTCGGAATGCGTGGTGACTTTGTGATCCACCCTGAGCTTTGCTTTGCTTTGCTTGACTGGTCTTGTGACCCCTTGTTCTCCCCCACTTTGCCTATGGGGGTGTGTCAGATTACTATAGCTTATACATGTTGTAGGCTGTAGTGGGGTAGCACATAAGGGGTACAACCCAATTAGGGTTGGCACTTGTACTGTTTTCATTTCATAGTTGATCATTCCTGTTCCTTACTTTCACAAAAGTGAGTCGACGGAACTTCCGCCGCTGGTTGGAAAAAGAACTAATCAGAAACATATCGGAATTACGAACCACTAGACCATTGGGATAAAAGGGCTTGTTAAGGTAGCGGGTCAGTGCGCCCATAACCCCCCAGGCCAACATGCCTATATCCCTTCCCTAGGATCAATCGGGGTTCACCAGTGGACCTCTGACAAAACAACCAACCTAAATCCAACTCAACTCTTCCTTGAAAGTGCATCCAATGCAACAACTCAAGTTTGTGATATCCTTGCTGTCTATTGTATAATTCGTTGGGAACTCCAACCATTGCCACATGGGCAAAGACCCATGGTGGTGCACCCTTCCTTGCCATGGGGAGGGTGGCTGCACCCCAAGGGGTTCTAGGGAGGGGTCTGAGCCAAGCTAGCTCATTCTCCACTTCCTATCCCGAACTAATCAATTGGGAAATAGGATTTCTCTCTTCTCAACTCACCTTCCACAGTTTGTGACAGGGTCATCTAGCACTTTCCAGACTTAGTAATTTCCAGGAGCTGCTACTCTCTGTTTCTTTTAGAACCTACTATTAAATGGGTAAATGCCATTTTTATTAGCAGATCCGTTACACGCGCGCTCCTCGCAAAACCAGGCGCCGCGCTTCAAGGCGACTCAACACTGCGAATCTCTGAATTGTTCATCTCCAACCCTTATGCTTTTGATACCCAGTGCGTGAATTCGACGTTGCCAAGTGGCACATATGACGCCGAGATCACGTGGGGCTATTATCCTGGCCAGCCAACGTGCTTCAACATGTCCTTCTATTCCTTCCCAAGCTGCGTGGGAGTTTCCTTTCTGTCGAAACTGTGCCCTTTATCCAACACTAATACCAAGTGGTGAGCTTGCACCTGCCGCTCAACAATAGTGCCGCCTTTCTTTGGCGGCACTTGGACCACAAAGGTTCTCACCTGCCGCTCAGTTTGTTTCTTTTGTTGAAACAGTTGGTTAATTTCTGTTGTTCTGCCACGTGTCTAAGTTCTTATTGTTTCCTGTGCTCCCCTGCCGCCCCCATGTCCTGGCTGCTGCTGCTCCCAGGACGCTCTCCCAGAAGCCAGCGTCAGTGTTTTGCCAGGGTAAGATTGCACGACTGGCCCCACAGTCACTTCCAAGTTGTGACACTTGCTTGCCCATCATGCTAGCGCAATGCACATACCAAGGCCCCTCGCATACAACGTGCCGCTGGGACTCATGGGATGTGTGTTGTGGTGTGGTGTGTGATGTCCAGTGGGAAGGCCGATGCTGAGGTTCATTCAGCATCACACACGCCGTGTTTGACACGCACTCACATGCATCACACACGCCGTGTTTGACACGCACTCACATGCATCACACACGCCGTGTTTGACACGCACTCACATGCATCACACACGCCGTGTTTCACACGCACTCACATGCATCACACACGCTGTGTTTCACATGCACTCACATGCATCACACACGCCGTGTTTCACACGCACTCACATGCATCACACACGCCGTGTTTCACACGCACTCACATGCATCACACACGCCGTGTTTCACACGCACTCACATGCATCACACACGTCGTGTTTCACACGCACTCACATGCATCACACACGCCGTGTTTCACACGCACTCACATGCATCACACACGCCGTGTTTCACACGCACTCACATGCATCACACACGCCGTGTTTCACACGCACTCACATGCATCACCGCGACATCACTGCCTTGCTGTGTTCTTGTAAAACTATTATCGGCTTCTCATCAATTGCACGCACACCATTCTGCCATCTCGTATACGACTCTCGCTACCGGTATGTATAACGAACATATCTAGCCCAATAATTCTACGAAGCATTTTTTCCCCATTGTGCGTTTCCCTCCCTGTACCTCCACCCTCCCCTTTTCGGTGCAAAGGGGCTGAAGGGTTAAGCAAGGCAGCAGCACCGCCATTCTCGAGCCCAGCATGCTCGGCGGCACATCAAGCCTTCCTTGGCTGCTGCCTTCTCACCACCAACGCTGCTGCAAGGCTTCATGCTCTCAACTTTCTGGCTTCGTTTTGCTTTGTCAATGTGGCATTTGCTTCGTGGGTTTGTCTTCAAGTGCTTGTTGACTGTTTTGTACTGTACACACTGTAATCATTAGGGGAATTGTGCTTGCGCTTTGTTGTGGCATCTGATTCGAAAACTTTTTCCAACTTCTTCCAAATATTGTCATCCACGGACGGAATAGTAGCACAGCCATTACCATGGAACCCCCCTATATAGCATGACGCCCCTCGTACCCTAGAACTTCTCCGCATGGTATATTCAAGCGAAAATTTCAGCAACAAATGGATGAAAACCAAAGCTGGCAGACTATGGCGCCACTCAAAAGAACACAGCTGGCTCTCTAAACTCAGGCCGATCAATGCTGCATTCGTTACAAGGATACGCACAGTCAACCGATTTGGCTTCTGCCCCATCATTATCCTCTTCGTGAAGCCAGAGACTGAAGGCCTGCGCCAGTGTCTGTCACAGGAAACCCAACACAGTTACTTGGCTGGAAACTACACTAGGTAAGTTAACCATAACAAACCAAGCAGGAAATCAACTCACATGATTGGCAACGGTTAACTGCGACCAGAGGTCACTGTGGTACGCGGCGCAGTGGGCTAAACAAAGTATATGTTGAAGCGCCTCAAAAAGTGACTCACGTGATTGGCGACAGTGAGCTGCGACCAGAGGTCACTGTGGTACGCGGCGCAGTGGGCTAAACAAAAGTATATCTTGAAGCGCCTCAAAAAGTGACTCACGTGATTGGCGACAGTGAGCTGCGACCAGAGGTCATTGTGGTAGGTGGCGCAGTGGGCGAAGCAGGAGTAGAAGAACGCCCCGTGGGGGTCACTTGCTGCTAGGAACGGCTGCCACGACTCAAGAAGCGCTTGGCGGAAATCTGGAGGTTATAGCAAAGAATGGGTGTAGCAACAGTGGAAAAGTGGGTGTAGCAAGAGGGGAAGAGTGGGTGTAGCAAGAGTGGAAGAGTGGGTGTAGCAAGAGTGGAAGAGTGGGTGTAGCAAGAGTGGAAGAGTGGGTGTAGCAAGGCGTGAGTGGAGCTGCTGCGAAAACGTTTTTGCCAGTCAGAGGAATAGCTTGCACTCGCCTTGGTGGACACACCTTGAATGATGGCCAGCTGAGCAGCTGTGCACGAGCGCACTCGATACAGGCAGTTCCGCAGCAGGTCACCAGAAGGGTCCGCATCCTCATTGGCTAGCAGAGCCAGTAGCTGTGGCAAAGGGAAGCGGCATACGTGTTCACATGTTTGCAGCCGCAATTTAGGCACTTACTATGATGGAGAGAGTTTGGGTAAGGAGAGGTGAGGGGAAGCAAGATAAAGGGTTGAGGACCAGTGGGGCATGTATGGCAGAGCAGTGGGGCATGTATGGCAGAGCAGTGGGGCATGTATGGCAGAGCAGCGGGGCATGTCTGGCAGAGCAGTGGGGCATGTCTGGCAGAGCAGTGGGGCATGCATCGCAGAGCAGTGGGGTATGTATGGCAGAGCAGTGGGGCATGCATGGCAGAGCAGTGGGGCATGTATGGCAGAGCAGTGGGGCAAGTATGGCAGAGCAGTGGGCATGCATGGCAGAGCAGTGGGGCATGCATGGCAGAGCAGTGGGGCATGTCTGGCAGAGCAGTGGGGCATGCATGGCAGAGCTGTGGGGCATGCATGGCAGAGCGGTGGGGCATGCATCGCAGAGCGGTGGGGCATGTTGGCAAGTCTATTGGCAGAGTGGCAAGGGATAGTACAGAAGGGAAACCAACTAAGGGTGGGAAAACTGAGAAGATAAAGGATGGGAGAGTGGTTGGGTGGGTTGGAGGGCGGTGCGTGCGTACATTCCAGGAGTCATAGTTGCTGTTGACCATGAACACTCTGCTGCTCACATACGCCATGGCGTGGCGAGCAAACACGCACTACAGCACACATGCACACACACCCACACACATGAAACAGGAAACCCTTGAGTTAACTCGAGTCACAGCATGGACTGCGGATGAAAACAGATTTGCGGAGGGAAACTGTTAGTTGTGAGACGCATGCTCTCTCACCTCCTCCCACATGTGACACGCATGCGCTCTCCTTGTACTGCCCGTGCTCACCTCGTACTGCCCGTCCTCACCTCGTACTGCCCGTGCTAACGTCGTACTGCCCGTGCTCACCTCGTACTGCCCGTGCTAACGTCGTACTGCCTGTGCTCACCTTGTACTGCCTGTGCTCACCTTGTACTGCCTGTGCTCACCTTGTACTGCCTGTGCTCACCCCTTTACATTCATACCACATGTGACACACATGCTCTCTCACCTCGTATTGCATGCTCTCTCACCTCGTATTGCATGCTCTCTCACCTCGTATTGCATGCTCTCTCCTCGTATTGCATTCTCTCTCACCTCGTATTGCATTCTCTCTCACCTCGTATTGCAGGTGCAGTGGGCGGGCGTTGATGCAGTGCTCACTCACTCCCCCGGCCATGTGCTGCACCGCACCACACCGCACCAAACCCTACCCCAACTCCACGTTAATAACCATTGTTCCCATACACACACGGAGCATGGGGCTATGGCAGAGATAGGCGAGGCGAGGGAGGGCGCAAGGAAGAGGGTTTCGAGCAGAAAGGGTCGAGAGGGGCACACACTGATGACTAGGGTCGGCTAAAGACACTGTTTAAATGCCCAAACGAGGAACATTGAGGGATGAAGGCAAGAAAGCTGTCAAAATGAGTGACGGGAAGATGGACACTTGCTGGTGTGAGGGGGCAAGAGGTTGCGAGGGGGGGAAGAAGGCTGAGAGGAAGCAGAAGGGTTCGAGAGGAAAAGACGGGTGCAAGGGAAGCAGAAGGGTGCGAGGGAAGCAGAAAAATTGGAGGGAAGCAGAAGGGTGGGTGGCAGGGCATGACATGGAATTGGAAGACAGCCTGAAAGAGCTCCCTCGCTGATGCCTTCCCACCCAGGTCCTTCCTGGAAGAGGCAGACACAAGGGAGAGTGGAACGACGAAGAAGGTAGGTGGTACTCGTAAATGAGATTCCACCGATCATCATTCAAAACCCTGTAACATTTATAATCACATGAGCAGCCCAGGTGTGACACCCTCTACATACTAAGAAAGTATCTTATTTGCAAAGTACACCAATAGAATGATTAGATTAAGCATTTCTTGTGTGTTGTCTGTGGAAGGAAGGAAAGCAGCTGAGAAGGTGGGGAGGCGCATGTGAGTGCCAGGGAGGGGGGCATCTGTCAAGGTAAATGGGGGCATCTGTCAAGGTAAATGGGGGCATCTGTCAAGGTAAATGGCGGCATCTGTCAAGGTAAATGGCGGCATCTGTCAAGGTAAATGGCAGCATCTGTCAAGGTAAATGGCGGCATCTGTCAAGGTAAATGGCGGCATCTGTCAAGGTAAATGGCGGCATCTGTCAAGGTAAATGGCGGCATCTGTCAAGGTAAATGGCGGCATCTGTCAAGGTAAATGGCGGCATCTGTCAAGGTAAATGGCGGCATCTGTCAAGGTAAATGACGGCATCTGTCAAGGTAAATGGCAGCATCTGTCAGACAGGCGAAGGCCGAGGGCGTGAGGGCAGGATGGATGTGGTCGCAGTGCAGAGGGAGACGAGGGGGGGAGAGGGAGGAGGGGGGGGGGGTGGGTGTGTGGGTGTGTGGGGGAAGGGCGCGTGGGTGTGGGGAGGCACCTGTCGAGGAAGATGGCAGCATCGGGCAGGCAGGCGTAGGCAGAGGGGGGCAGGGCGGGGAAGAAGGCGGCTCTGATGTGGTCGCAGTGCAGCAGCGCTGCAAGCCCCCCGGCAGAGCACCCCGACACCACCACCTGCCGGTGGGTGGGATGGGCTTGGTGGTGTATGTTGCGTGTGCAAGCTTGTGAGTGTGAGTGTGCGAGCGAGTAAGCGTGCTTGTGGGCATGTGTGCGCGTGTTGGCATGTTGGCATGTGTCTGTGTGTTGGCAAACATATGTGGGTTACTGCATGGTACTGCATGTAAGTGCACGTGCACTCAAATGTGTGTGCACGGAGCAGAGCACACCCACGTCCTCCGTGCTTGCCTGCTGTGCGTGGGCCAGTCGGTGCTGCAGGTGGTCAAAGATGGCATCGCGAATGGCTCGCCCGCGAATGAAGATGCTGCCCCCCTGCAGGTCGTGGAAGTAGCGGTGGGCAGCAGCGGTGGGCAGCAGCGGTGGGCAGCAGCGGTGGGCAGCAGCGGTGGGCAGCAGCGGTGAGTGGTGAGAGGAGAAAGAGAATGAAGATGTTGCCCCCTTGCCCGTGGAAGGAGAGATGAGCGGCGAGAGGAGGAAGCGAATGGATGGATGAAGGAGAGAAAGGGATAGCAGATGCACATGAAGCGTCGCAGAGGGTTGCATGAGCAGATGATGCATGGATCGAAGGCATGGATCGAAGGCATGGATCGAAGGCATGGATCGAAGGCATGGATCGAAGGCATGGCTCGAAGGCATGGATCGAAGGCATGGCAAGAATTGCTCGTCAGCACTCACCCGCACTGAATCTCGCTGACCTGCACTCACCTGAACTGAACCACACTGAACCGCACTGACCTGCACTCACCTGCACTCACCTGCACTCACCTGCACTGACCTGCACTGACCTGCACTGACCTGCACTGACCTGCACTGACCTGCACTGACCTGCACTGACCTGCACTGACCTGCACTTACCTGCACTGACCTGCACTCACCTGCACTTACCTGCACTTACCTGCACTTACCTGCACTTACCTGCACTGACCTGCACTGACCTGCACTTACCTGCACTTACCTGCACTCACCTGCACTCACCTGCACTCACCTGCACTCACCTGCACGGGAAGAGGGTGGGTGCGGTGGCCAGCAAAGGACCCGCCATCGCAGTAAGCGAGCTTCACCATGTTCCACTCGTGCATGCCTGCCGTGGTGCATACATGCATGCATGCACGCCATCATGGGTACATGCCACGGTGCATGCATGCATGCACACGGGTGCATACACACCATCAGGTTCTTCCGTGCACATCGATTGGGTGGGTGCAGAAACGGGTAGAGCCACGTGCATGCTCAAATCACAGCAGGCGGGAACAGCGACGTGCGCAAGTGGCGGGCAGGCCATAGGAGTTCAAGGCGTGGGGAACAAAAGGGTATTATGTAGGTGTGGTATGGTGTGCACGTGGGTAGGAACAGTGCATGCGAAGGGTTGTAAAGCAGGGAGAGCGTCAATTGGTCGGTAGTGGGCGGCACATGGGGTGGTGCGTGGGCACATGGGGTGGTGCGTGGGCACATGGGGTGGTGCGTGGGCACATGGGGTGGTGCGTGGGCACATGCATGGGTTGGCGGAGCAACGCGCCTGGGTTGATTGCAGGGTCGTCACTGAACACGCCCTCAGCGTCAGCAGTGGCGGGTAGCAGGCGGGACGACCCCAGTGCTGTGAGGCTGCGCTGCCGACACTCCTCCCCGCTGCTGCACCACGCCCCGCCCTGTGCACACCCATACCCCCCACACTCCACGCCCATACCCCCCACACTCCACGCCCATCCCTCCCCCCTCCACGCCCATGCTACCCCCTCCCCACATGTGCGAACAAGCAAGCATGTGAGAGAAAGTGGAGTGAGTTGAAGATGGGGTGACTGGAACTCAACTAACGTTCCCAGAAGATCAAATCTCGACTAAAGTGCGTTGCATACATGCCGGTGAATTCCCACCATGGCAGGTCCAGCAAGGCCAAGCAGCACGGAAGGCATGGCATGGCATGGCATGGCATGGCATGGCAATGGCATGGCATGGCAATGGCATGGCATGGCATGGCCAGCAGCCGTTAAGAACGGGCAGCGGGGAAGTGACGGAGGGGAAAGAGAGGGAGGAGAGGTGAAAGAGAGGGGGGAAGAAGGAGAGAAAGAGGGAGGGGAAAAGAGGAGGGGAGTGGGAGAGAAAGAGGAGGAGAGAGGTGAGGAGAAAGGGGGAGAATGGGGGAGAGGGGGCGAGTGGGGGGGAGAAGGGTGGAGCGGGGGGGAGACGGGGGGAGAGGGGAGGAGAAAGGGGGAGAGGGCGGGAGAAGGGTGGAGAGGGGGGGAGAAGGGGGGAGAGGGGGGAAGAAGGGGGGAGAGGGGGGAAGAAGGGGGGAGAGGGGGGCGACCTGGAAGTGGAAGAACCACTTGTGGGCGCCGCCTGCATGGCCCGGGCGGAAGTAGTAGGCCGGTGGTGACCCGTCCAAACACACTGTGGGGCAGGCAGGACGCGGGGGTGAGGGGAGGCCGTGGCACGCACACGGGTGTGTGTGAGGGGAGTGTGTGTGAGGGGAGGATAGTGCAGTGTGTGTGAGGGGAGGATAGTGCAGTGTGTGTGAGGGGAGGATAGTGCAGTGTGTGTGAGGGGAGGATAGTGCAGTGTGTGTGAGGGGAGGATAGTGCAGTGTGTGTGAGGGGAGGATAGTGCAGTGTGTGTGAGGGGAGGATAGTGCAGCGACTGCGGTGCACTGCACCTCACACGCATGCACCTCACACGCCATGCACCTGACAGCACAAGGGAGCGTCTCACCAGCCCCCACGGCCGCTGCCCCGTGCACCACCACCAGCCTCAGTGGCCTCGCCACCACTCCTGCTGCTGCTGCCGCCGCCGTCGTCGCCGCTGCTGCTGCTGCTACCGCCCGCGCCCGAAGTTCCTCCTTCGCGTTGCTCTCTGCTGCATTCTCGCCGCCCGCGTTCTCTCCGCCATTCTCGCTGTCGCCTTCCCCACGCCCAACTTTCGCCCCTTCCGCTCTCACCGCACTCCCCCCTCTGCTCTCCTCCCCCTCCCCCTCACTCCCCTTCCCCCGCACCGGTCGTTCCGCCGTGCCGTGCAACCCCTCGCTCGCACCGTCGCCCGCCTCCCTACCGCGCACGCCTGCGCGCTGCTCCCCCAGCCCGCCTGGCGCAGGTTCCGCCACCAGCAGAGTTGGCGCGGAAAGCGCGCGCCATCGGGAAAGGGCGAGCGCAAGGGCGAGGGCGAGCGCCGCAAGGACGAGGAGCAGTGTGGCGGGGGGACGGAGGGCCGTCGCCGAGGGACACGTGGCGAGCGACTGCGATCGAACGTATCGCACATGGTGTCGCATGGCATCGCAGAGTGGTTCAGGCAAGCATGCCGACGCTCGAGTGTGGTGTCTCTGTTCCAAACCTCGCCTGGGTCTTATACGCGTCAGAGAACGATGGATTCGATAGCGTAATTGTCTCCATGTATTATAGTTGAAGTACGTATGGACCTCTTGGGCATCGGGAGTTGGGTCGCTAAAAATAAAATAAACTACCGGTAATAATAATAAAAATAAAAAAGCAGGGAGAAACAAAAAATTGCAGCGCTTCCTATATATTTCTAAGAAGAAATTCGTGAGGTGCATGGCGTGTGCATTGCTGGTAGGCATTTTCTAAAAGAAAGGCGCCTAATCCGTTATGTCGCTTTGCACAACTTTTGAGGGCTCTTGTGTTAATAAGCAAGAAAGTGTAGAGATTACACAAATTCAGTTCTGTAAAGCAGACAAAAATCTTAACACGTTATCGAAGCAGCTTTTTGTGCATTGACGTCAAACCTCCTCCCTGTCGACCAGCGCATTCATCGCGACATTCACTCTCGCATATCGCTCCACCGCCCTCGTTAGCTCTCGCCCCTCCGCACTCGCGACTGCCCCCTCCTCCTTACCGTCGCGCTCCTCGCACGTCCCCTCCGCCCGCCGTCGCCAGCCTCGCGCGGCACCTCCGCGGCAGGCGCAAGTTGGCCAGAAGCCCGCTTGCTGACCGCTCTGCGAAACGCCGCACTACCAGGTTGGTGACCCCTCCCTAGCGCGCCACCTCTGCGTCTTGTAAGATTCTCGCGCCCGCTCATTCCCCGCCCGCTCATTCCCCGCCCGCTCATTCCTCGCCCGCTCATTCCCCGCCCGCTCATTCCCCGCCCGCTCATTCCTCGCCCGCTCATTCCCCGCCCGCTCATTCCCCGCCCGCTCATTCCCCGCCCGCTCATTCCCCGCCCGCTCATTCCCCGCCCGCTCATTCCCCGCCCGCTCATTCCCCGCCCGCTCATTCCTCGCCCGCTCATTCCCCGCCCGCTCATTCCTCGCCCACTCATTCCCCGCCCGCTCATTCCCCGCCCGCTCATTCCCCGCCCGCTCATTCCCCGCCCGCTCATTCCTCGCCCGCTCATTCCTCGCCCGCTCATTCCCCGCCCGCTCGATCGCGCCCTTCCCCCTCCCCCCCCCCCACCCGCTCATTTGTCGCCCTCTCATTCGTCGCCCTCTCATTCGCCGCCCTCTCATTCGTCGCCCTCTCATTCGCCGCCCTCTCATTCGCCGCTCTCTCATTCCCTCCCGCTCATCCGCTCTCGCAGAATGCCACACTACGCGTGCAGCGTTGTGTTTTGAGTTCTAGGAGGGCCACCCGCCCGTACGGCGTGCTCACTTCTCTCATGCGTCCGTTGTTCATGTGCTCATCTTCTCTCTCGCTCTCTGCACCGCCCTCTTCCCCCACAGCTATGACGGTTGACCCCGCCCCCCTCGCTCCCTCCCCCGCTCCACCCTCTGCCGCCGTGCCTGCACAGCCCGCCACAGGCCCAGGCGCTGCAGAGCAAGGGGGCCCCGAGGCAGAGGGCAAGGGGAGCGCGGCAGCAGCTGAGAAGGGCACGGATGAAGCATGGGGGCCCAAGGGGGAGGTGGCGGGAGCAGAGGGAGAGGAGGAGGAGGGAGGAGAAGCAGCCGGAGGAGCAGCGGGGACAGCAGCAGCGGCGGCGGAATCGGCAGCAGCAGCAGTAGCAGTGAAGCACCCGCTGCAGCAGCGGTGGACGCTGTGGTTTGACAACCCGCACCAGCGCGGCAAGAGTGGCGGGTGGGGCACGTCCATGCGCCTCATCTACACCTTCGGCACCGCTGAGGACTTCTGGAGGTGACGCCCGCTTAGCTTACCACATGCCATGCCACACCTTAAAGCCCAGCTGGAGGTCTCTGCTTCACTCCACGCATGTGCTGGTATGCCTTCTCTGAACGCCACGCATGTGCTGGTATGCCTTCTCTGAACGCCACGCATGTGTGATACAAGAGTGGCGGGTGGGCCACATCCATGCGACAGCCTGCAGGTCCACACCTCCGGCACCGCCTAGGGCTTCTGGAGGTGCGGGGGTGCCGGCCCGGCCATGCCACGCGTGAGTCGTGTGGAGATGCGATGCCATGGTTGAGTGTTGTTGAGATTGAGGGCGCGTCGCGCCTTGAAGCGTGTGTGAGAATGCCTTCACTCCACTCTAGGCTCGAGCAACACCCGGGAGGGACCATGTTCTTTCATGGCACCCGGCACCGTCACGACTTCCTGCCGTGCGACGCTTGAGTCGTCTCGATATTGAGGGCGAGTCATGGGGCTGAAACCATGTGTCCGTATGCCTTCTCGCTACTCCATACGCATGTTCAGAACACTTCCTACTCTTGTTTCTTCCTTGCCATGCCTGGTCTCTAGCTTCACAACCTGTGCCTCTCTCTCAAGCTCATCTGACACGTGCTCTGAAATCCGCTTCATCTCTTACTCCCCTCTTCCTTTTGATCTTGCAATGTCTCTCACCCACCCTCTCATCTCCAGACTGGGCACCAACCAACACACCGTTTTCCGCGTGCATTGCAACCTTCTCCATGACCTAACCTGCCTCAACCCAAAGTCCCCCTCCATCCCCTCCTCCCCTCCCCGTTCCTTCCCCCCTCCCTCCCTCCTGCTCCCCTCCCCCTTTCCCCCTTCCCTCTCACAGCTTGTACAACAATGTGACGTCAGCAGCAACACTGCCCCCCAGGATGGACATGCATCTGTTCAAGGAGGGCATCGTGCCCAAGTGGGAGGACCCGCAGTGCGAGAAGGGCGGCTCCTGGACCGTCTTCTGCCGCACCAAGGACATGTTTGACCACGTGTGGCTCAATGTGGTGAGTGTGGCTCAATGTGGTGAGTGTGGCTCAATGTGGTGAGTGTGGCTCAATGTGGTGAGTGTGGCTCAATGTGGTGAGTGTGGCTCAATGTGGAGAGTGTGGCTCAATGTGGTGAGTGTGGCTCAATGTGGTGAGTGTGGCTCAATGTGGTGAGTGTGGCTCAATGTGGTGAGTGTGGCTCAATGTGGTGAGTGCTGCACCAACGACATGTTTGACCAAAATGTCCAAATCTCCAATTGAGGATTTGAAGGGACTGTGTTGTTGGCATCTTCCCTGCAGTTCCTTTAGAATAGGTTTTTAGCGAGTTAATCCCATTCCCTTACACACCAACAGCTGTGCCCACTCCTTGTTCTCCCACTATGTTGCCCGCTGTGTGTGTGGCTGCCCCCCTTCCCCCCCCGCCCCTCATGGAACGGCTATTGGCAGTGATAGGCGAGCATGTCACAGAAGCGGGCGACATGTGTGGGGTGGTGGCCAATGCCCTCTCTCTCTGTTGTCACACCAACACCTCTGTGGCCCATTTCTTGTTTTTCCTCCACTGTGTGGCCTGCTGTGTGTGTGGCTGTGCTCCCCTCTTCTGCAGCTGCTGGCGCTGATAGGAGAGCAGTTCACAGAGGCGGGCGACATCTGTGGCGTGGTGGCGAACGCTCGGCCCAACAAGGACCGAGTGGTGCTGTGGACCAAGACTGCCAGCAACGAGGCAGTGCAGGTGGGTGGCAATGGTCAACTCATGTCCATCCACGCACGATGCCTACTAGATGGCAGGGAGTTTCTGAGGATTCTTAGATTCACCTCGGAACCAGAAAGGTCAAAAGTAGCCTCAGCCTTGATACTCCTGTTCCCAGGGCGCTGCAAAGGCATCTGCCACCGGGCGGAGTGGGAGGGCTGAATGCAGCTGCGTTGTAACTTGACTTGGCTGGCTCAATGGCTGTCGACGATGCTGACTTGGCAGTGATTGCTACTGCTGCGAGTGCTACTGCTGCGAGTGCTACTGCTGCGAGTGCTACTGCTGCGAGTGCTACTGCTGCGAGTGCTACTGCTGCGAGTGCTACTGCTGCGAGTGCTACTGCTGCGAGTGCTACTGCTGCGAGTGCTACTGCTGCGAGTGCTACTGCTGCGAGTGCTACTGCTGCGAGTGCTACTGCTGCGAGTGCTACTGCTGCGAGTGCTACTGCTGCGAGTGCTACTGCTGCGAGTGCTACTGCTGCGAGTGATACTGCTGCGAGTGCTACTGCTGCGAGTGCTACTGCTGCGAGTGCTACTGCTGCGAGTGCTACTGCTGCGAGTGCTACTGCTGCGAGTGCTACTGCTGCGAGTGCTACTGCTGCGAGTGCTACTGCTGCAATTACTACTGCTGCAATTACTACTGCTGCGAGTGCTACTGCTGCGAGTGCTCCTGCTGCGAGTGCTACTGCTGCGAGTGCTACTGCTGCGAGTGATACTGCTGCGAGTGCTACTGCTGCGAGTGCTACTGCTGCGAGTGCTACTGCTGCGAGTGCTACTGCTGCGAGTGCTACTGCTGCGAGTGCTACTGCTGCGAGTGCTACTGCTGCGAGTGCTACTGCTGCGAGTGCTACTGCTGCGAGTGCTACTGCTGCGAGTGCTACTGCTGCGAGTGCTACTGCTGCGAGTGCTACTGCTGCGAGTGCTACTACTGCGAGTGCTACTGCTGCAATTACTACTGCTGCAATTACTACTGCTGCGAGTGCTACTGCTGCGAGTGCTACTGCTGCGAGTGCTACTGCTGCGAGTGCTACTGCTGCGAGTGCTACTGCTGCGAGTGCTACTGCTGCGAGTGCTGCTGCTGCGAGTGCTACTGCTGCGAGTGCTACTGCTGCGAGTGCTACTGCTGCGAGTGCTACTGCTGCGAGTGCTACTGCTGCGAGTGCTACTGCTGCGAGTGCTACTGCTGCGAGTGCTACTGCTGCGAGTGCTACTGCTGCGAGTGCTACTGCTGCGAGTGCTACTGCTGCAATTACTACTGCTGCAATTACTACTGCTGCGAGTGCTACTGCTGCGAGTGCTCCTGCTGCGAGTGCTCCTGCTGCGAGTGCTACTGCTGCGAGTGCTACTGCTGCAATTACTACTGCTGCAATTACTACTGCTGCGAGTGCTACTGCTGCGAGTGCTACTGCTGCGAGTGCTACTGCTGCGAGTGCTACTGCTGCGAGTGCTACTGCTGCTGTGCTACTGCCACTGCAGCAACGCTGGAGCAGGACATCATATCATGCCCTGGTGGTGGGGCCATGCCCTGCTGGTGGGGCCATGCCCTGGTGCCTCTGCTGACGGAATCCTTCCGTGTTGCTAAGCTTAGCCTCCCACTCTGACTCTCCCTCTCACTCCCCCTCTCACTCCCCCTCTCACTCACTCTTTTCTCGTGCAGGTGAGCATCGGGAGGCAGCTCAAGGAGATCAGTGGCATTACAGACAAGATTTCATACTCCTCCTTTGTAAGACCCCACCTCGCCCCACGCATTCTCACTTTCCGAGTCTTCTCACGAGCACCTAAACCCGAAACCCTTGTCCGATGCCTTTCTTACAGTTGACTCCTTCCGTCCTTCTCTTTGCTTGCTGTTGCTGGCCATGAGGCTTGTCAAGTCCCGTATCAGCCATTCATGTGCCTTATTTACATGTCCTCTTCATTCGACAGCCTTTCAACCTGCTTGGCACCACAGGCTGCACCACAGGCTGCACCACAGGCTGCACCACAGGCTGCACCACAGGCTGCACCACAGGCTGCACCACAGGCTGCACCACAGGCTGCACCACAGGCTGCACCACAGGCTGCACCACAGGCTGCACCACAGGCTGCACCACAGGCTGCACCACAGGCTGCACCACAGGCTGCACCACAGGCTGCACCACACAAAGCCATCGCGTCACTCAGCATCGCACTGTCGCATTTCCTTCACCTCTCCTCGTCCCTCATTACTGCAGTGTGTCATATCACATCCCCCATCTGCTCTCTGTTCATCTTGTTTGTGCATTCTGGTCATTCTCAGAACGATCAGAAGTTTTCATCGAAAGCCAGCCAGGGATATGTTGCTTGAAGCACCACTGTGCCACCGACCACAAGCGTATAGGATTGCAATGATGCATTGCATGTTGACATACCGTAGTTGCTGTTGCTGCAATCTACGAGCAGGTTTTATTTATGTTTTTTGCAAGGCCAAGGCCAACGGTTCTTATTCATGAGATGGACCAATATTTGTCATTAAAATGTATATGTTCACACTTAAATACCGTCATCGCCCGGATATAAGACAGTGTTGAATAGTAGCCTTTTTATATGACACCTATTTGTGTGTACGAGTTAAGACATATATGTCTTATAATCAGAACCGGGGTTTAGGGGTTTTCTTATAAACATGGGGTGTCTTCTAAACGAGCCTTCCTTACTTTAGGGGGGTACATGCATACTTTCATGAATCTCTACTTCTACCTAACCCCCCTAAGTCACCGCCTCCTCGCCTGCGCTAACAACAGGCTCTACATCTAGGTCTGGCACTCGCCAGGCATGCCTAGCCGTCTCCCTAGGCTCGATCATGCGGTCAGCCTCGGCCGCCGCCCCGCGGTAGTTGGGGCTCTCCTGGTACAGCACCTCCAGGCCGGTTGCCACGGCCACCTCCCGCACGCCCTCCGCCTGCATCGCCTCCTCCTCCTCCTCCTCTGGAACGCGTCGATGATGATCTGCTTCGGGACTTTATCCCAAGCCTCCGCGATCCACTGCAGCACCACGGGGTGCGGCGGCCTTCGCAGGTTCCCTGCGGGTGGGTTTGAGGACGGGGCAGCGAGATGTTAGAGAGACGGACATGAAGGAGCATGTTTAAGACAAGGACAGGAAACAGAACATGAATAATATCGTAAATGAAGGACCAACTCACCCTTCTTCGTCTTCAGGTGAATCCCCTCACGCATGAACCACCTGGCGTAGCGCGCTCGCACAGCAGCCTTGAAGCACCGGTTGATTGAGACGTCCGGGGGTTGAATCTGGCTCGTACAACCCGCTGGGATGACTGCAGGGGTGATGCTGTGCGTGCGGTACGAGTGAAGCATGGTATGGGTGATGTGACCGCGGTAGGAATCCAACACCAGCATCGCACGCCTCGCGTTCTGGCCGCGCTGGGGGTTCATGTGAAAAGAGAACTCTCCGCCTCTGTCAGAGTGCAGACGCAGAACAGGAAAGTCCGAGCCGAAGCTCTTCCTGAGCTGGAGACGAGCCTCGCGGATCCAGTCGATCAGCACCTCAGTGACCGCACCCTTGCTGCGCAAGGGGAGGACTGTGGTGTAACGCGAGTAGTCGTCAACCACCAACAGGAAGTAGCGCTCGTAACCCTGCCCACGGACGGGGGCTGGGCCCCACACATCCATGTGAAGCGTCTGCAGGGGAGCCTCTGTCGGGGGGAAGTGGGAGGAGTGAGGAGTAGCCCGGAGGCGACCCTCGACACAGGGGACACAGGAAGGTCCTGGCCCGGAGGGGAGAGGAGGGAGAGACTGGGGAAGACCAGAGACAAGGACACGGGAAGCCATGCTCCGAAGACGGGGCAAGGAGGGGTGGCCAAGACGGTGGTGCCACAGGAGAGTCTCGTGAGACAGGAGGCGACAAGAACAGGGGGCAGACTCAGGACCTGACCGGGACGCAGCAGCAAGTACCTGACCCGACGCAGCCACCTGACCAGACTCAGGGACAGGAGGAGACTCAACGGTCAGGGTGTAGAGACTCGACCCCGGCCGACGTGAGAACGTGGCCAGGTGTCGGCCTGTGCGAGCCTCCGTGCAGTGGGTCACCCTCTGACGCGCAGGAGTGAACTGGTGAACACCCCCATCCTGCAGGTCCGCTCCACTCACCAAGTTCGTAGAGAACGAGGGAAGGTACAGACCCGACAGGGTGCCCGAAGGGGCAGCCGGACACGGGAGGACAGTGGAGAAGTGAGACAGGACAGGACCCCCAGAGGGGTCAGCAAGGGAGACCGCAACCGGCCTGGCGAGCGGCGAAAGGGTAGTGCGGTCTCGAAAGAAGGAGCGAGAAGCTCCGGAGTCAAGCGTGAAAGTGAGGGAGGACGAGGACGACTCAGTACCTGAGAGCGCAGTCTCACCAGTACCTGAGAGCGCAGACGCACTGGCACCTAGAGCAGCAGCCTCACAAGCACCTAGCGCAGCAGTACCAATGCCCGGGTCGGGCTGAAAACACCGGTAACCCTCATTCTCCTCACTATAATCCACAACATACATAGCAGTAAGGATAGCATCAAAATCAAGATCAAAGATCGCTACACCAGCCCTGAGAAGCTCATCCCAGCGAGGGATCTCACTAGCCCCAGGGAACTGCTGACGCCAAGCGTCCGTCAGGCGGCCAAAGCAGCGCTGGGTGGCGTGGGCACCCCCACACTGCTCACCCGCGCGGTCGCCGGAACGAAGAACGTAGGTGCAGGGACCAGTACCCCCACCCCTCTGACGCCCAGCGTACCACTCACGAAGCTGCTGAGGCGAAGGGATGTCCCGCGAGCGCTGCTGCTGCTGCCGGTGCGAGCGCTGGCCACCACCACCGCCGCTACGCTGCTGGGTACCACCCCGACCAGCTCCACCTCCTCCACCACTACTGCCTCCTCCGCTGCCGCCTCCACTGCCTCCACCTCCGCCGCCTCCACCTCCGCCGCTGCCTCCACCACCACCGCTGGCACCACCACCACCGTCTCCGCCGCTGCTGCCGCCACCACCACCACCACCCCCGCCACTAGCCCCGCCGCCACCCCCACTCCCTCCGCCGCCACCGCCGCCACCGCCACCGCCCCCTCCAGCTCCACCCGGGCCCTTGCCCCCCTTGCCCTTGCTGGAGCGACGTCTCCCACTAGGGGCAGACGCCGCGCCGACCGACTCAAGACCAAGCAGGTCGGCAGCAGCAGCAGAGGCAACAGAGGGCAGCAAGGGGGAAGGAGAGCACCCCTCAAAGATGGGGGTGCGAGGGTCACCACGAGAAGCACCTACAGCGACTATGCTCTTCTCCGCTGCAAGGATGGCCTTCTCGAGGAGGTCGACGGTGAGAGTGGTGGGACAGACTGCGAGAAAGTGGTCCCTGACGACGCGAAGGGAGTCAGGGAGGCGTGCGACTACGTAGTAGAGAGCGATGTACATGGGGGGGGGGTTCTTAGCGCAGAACTCAGCAGGAAGGGCGGCGCGGTAGCGAGTGTCACTAGTGCGGAGGTGCGTAATGAGGTCAGCGACAGTGGGAAAGGCAGAGAGGTCAGGAAAGAGGTAGGGAAGCATGAGACGGCTCAGTGCAGCAGTGGCACGGGAGGAGTAGCGCGCAACTACAGCGTCGTACAAGGTCTGAGCACTCTTGTACTGACTAAAGTGCGCACGCTCAGAGGTAGGGAGGTGGCGACGCACAGCAAGACGTGCAGCAGCATCGCGGGTGGCCCACTTAGAGCGGACAGCGGGATCAGCATCAGCAGCAGGGGCAGGAGAGGCGCCAGAGGTGAGGTCAAAGAGAGAAAGGTCGTCAGCCCTGTCGCACTGTAAGAACAGCTGCAGGTCGTCTAACCAGACCTCAAAATCAATGGCGCGACCCTCAGCGTCAAAAGCTAGGACACTAGGGGTAGCCATGACGACGACTATGAAGCAGTGCAAGCAGTAGGGGGGAGAGCACGCAGTGACAGTGGGACTGTGCTCACCAGGCAGGGCAGGTCGCGCAGCTCGACAGAAAAGCAGAACGGCGACCGGGCGGCTCAGGTGTACAGCGGCTCGGCTCCCGGGCGGCTCGGCGGCAGGGCGGCTCGGGTGCAGGGCGGCTCGGCTCCCGGGCGGCTCGGCTGCAGGGCGGCTCGGGTGCAGGGCGGCTCGGCTCCCGGGCGGCTCGGCTGCAGGGCGGCTCGGGTCCCGGGCGGCTCGGCTCCCGGGCGGCTCGGCTGCAGGGCGGCTCGGGTCCCGGGCGGCTCGGTGACAGGCGGCTCGGGTCGCGTAGAAGTGAGACGGGGCGGGGCCGCGTCAGGGCCGGCGGTAGGGCCGCGTAGGAGCCGGGGCAGGGCCGCGAAGGAGCCGGGGCGGGGCTGTGATAGGAGCCGGGGCAGGGCCGCGTAGGAGGCCGGCGGTGTGGCCGCGTAAGGGCCGCGTAAGGGCCGCGTAAGGGGCCGGCGCGGGGCCGCGTAAGGGCCGCGTAGGAGCCGGCGCGGAGCCGCGTAGTGGCCGGGGACGGGGCCACGAAAGGGCCGGGGCTGGGCCGCGTACGGAGCCGGCGAGGGGCCGCGTAGGAGCCGGCGGCGTGGCCGCGTAAGGGCCGCGTAAGGGCCGCGTAAGGGGCCGGCGCGTAAGGGCCGCGTAAGGGCCGGGGCGGGGCCGCGTAAGGGCCGCGTAAGGGCCGCGTAAGGGGCTGGCGTGGGGCCGCGTAAGGGCCGCGTAAGGGCCGGGGCGGGGCCGCGTAAGGAGTAGGCGGCGGGGCCGCGTAAGGAGCAGGGCGGGGCCGCGACAGAGTGGGCGGCGAGGCCGCAGAGGAGAGAGCGACTCGAGGGGTCGCTAAAAAAAATTCGCGCCTCGGGGGCGCGCTTCGGTGGGCCCAAAAATTTCGGTCCTGGAGGGACCTAGCTCTATACCATGTGAAAAGAGTAAGCAGGAATGAATGAACTATGAATGAAAGCAGTACAAATATGAAACCCTAACTGGGTTGTACCCCCTATGGGATACCCCACTACAGCCTACACAGCAGTATAAGCTATAGATATGTTCTGACAGTTCAGAAGGGGCAGCACCTCCTTGGACAGCCAGGTCTGCACAGCACTCTCGCCCATCCACCCGTTGTTCTGTGCTTGGACCACGATTCTTGCCAGGCACACAAGGGACAGACGGGCTTCAACACAGTGGGGCACGCTCATCAGGCAGTCGCACGGTTGAATTCATTACGCTTACCTTCCGGAATCTCACAATTGGGGACGTTCTTCATATTGAACCACACCCACGGCCGCAGCTTCTCCCCGGATGCAGTGCACGCGAGCATCACCGTCAAGCGCGTTTTCTGGTAGCCTGCAGTGCGGATTGGGACCGAGCGCGCGCCGCGGTGCTCGATCGTCCGTTCCGCTGGCATCTCCACGAATAGTGGAGTCTGGTCCGTGTTGATGATGCGGGCCAGGTCGATGTTGTGCCGCGCCCTGTTGATGCGCACGAACTTCCAGAAGGACTTGCAGTCCTTCGGGCACTCTGCAAACGGTACACGCGCAACGGAAACACGGGATGGTTAGACACTGGGTGAGGGACATGCATTCAATAGCTCGCGCGTGACACGAATTCCTTCAACACGCACCCGCCGACAGTCGTTGGCCGACCTTGGTCTTCACCCGCATCACCAGGTTCCAGCGGTCACGGAAACGCTGGCTCCAGTGAGAGCTCGCGTTCCAGTTCTTGCCAGCGTGATGCTTCTTCATCCACTCGCAGCTCCACTTCTGAGTGTCCTTCACCGAGATGGCCACCCCATTAGCGCGTCGAAGGCAGATGTGGCGGTACATGTCAAATATAGGAGGAGTACGGCCTAGGCTTAGTAGCCTAGGCCACAGTAGGACTAGAACGAGGAGGCGCCAAGTACAAGCTAGGAACGTGTGCACGAACAGAATTGAGAAGAGATGATTGAACTAGCAAGCAGCAGGATACAAATAGCAAACCTTAAGGGGCTGTACTCACTATTGAGTGCCCCATTGCAGGCTACACAAATAACATATTCTGACACACCCCCATAGCCAAAGTGGGGTGTAATCAGCACAATGAGCAGGCAGTGCAATAGTTCACAATTATGAGCAAAGCTAGTGGTAGTCACAGCAGGCAAGTGAGGAGGAGGGACTGTGAGAGGAGCGAAGATGGGAGACGACGGCTGAAGCTGCAGACACACGGGCAACAGGAGCGGCTGGCACAGTGGCTACCGGGACAGCGCCCCGGACTACTAGAGTAACTGGCTCATGGGCTACGAGGAGCTACACGAGCAACGGACCCACGGGCGACAGGCGCAGCAGGCTCTCTGGGCTACCAGGACAGCGCCCCGGACTACAGGTGCTGCCGACGACAAGACGGCTGCCTCCACTCAACCTCCCCCAACTGTCCCACACCTCCCTACACACACCCCCAGTTTCACCCCTAGCTCCACTCCCACATCACCCCCCTAGCTCCACTCCCCACAGCTCCCACACCTCCACCCCCCTCAACGGCAGCTGCAGCAGTGGGAGACGAAAAAGGAGGAGGGGAGAACCCACACCTCTCACCCCCATGCTTGCCACCCCACACCCCCACCACCGCGGAACGCACGGCGGAATGGGAGCAATGGGCAGCACGGGGGGGGGAGGGGGAACGGGACGGGCTTCCGCAGGGGCGGCTCGCGTGGGTCCTGGGGCGGCTGCTGCAAGCACGGCTCCAGGGGCGGCTGCTGCAGGCACGGGCTGCTCCAGGGGCGGCTGCTGCAGGCACGGGCTGCTCCAGGGGCGGCTGCTGCAGGTGCGGGCTGCTCCAGGGGCGGCTGCTGCAGATGCGGGCTGCTCCAGGGGCGGCTGCTGCAGTGGCGAGCGGCTCCAGGGGCGGCCGCTGCAGGTGAAAGGTAGGAGGAGGGGGGGGGGGGGGGGGGGGGGGGGGGGGGGGGGGGGGGGGAACGCACGGCCCCCTGGGCGCCCCGAGGGGCGACGAGAAGGGAGCCGCGCGGCCCCCCCCTGGGGCGCCGCGACGGGCACCAGGGAGGGCGCCGCGATGGGCCCCCAGAGCCGCCTCGACGGGCGACGGGGAGGGCGCCGCGCGGGCCCCCCGAAGTCGCCTCGACGGGCGACGAGAAGGGCGCCGCGCGGGCCCCCCAAAGTCGCCTTGACGGGCGACGGGAGGGGACCGCGTGCGGCCCCCGTGGTCGCCACGACGGGCGATTGGTGGGGAGGCCGCGCGGGCCCCCAAGGTCGCCTCGACGGGCGACGGGAGGGGAGGCCGCGCGGGTCCCCAAGGTCGCCTCGACGGGCGACGGGAGGGGAGGCCGCGCGGTTCCCCGAGAGCGCCTCGACGGGCGCTTCGACGGGAGGAGACCGCGGAGGCCCCCCCAAGGGCACCACGACGGGCGCCACGGAAGGGAAAACCGCCAGGCGCCCCGAGTGCGCGGCGAGCAGAAATTAGGGTTTCGCCGCCGCGCACCACGGGGCGCGCGTCGGACATTGCGGCAGCGGAAGCGGGTGGTGGGCCCATACACAGGAAGGCGGCAGACATGCCGCCCTCTGATACCATGTCAAATATAGGAGGAGTACGGCCTAGGCTTAGTAGCCTAGGCCACAGTAGGACTAGAACAAGGAGGCGCCAAGTACAAGCTAGGAACGTGTGCATGAACAGAATTGAGAAGAGATGATTGAACTAGCAAGCAGCAGGATACAAATAGCAAACCCTAAGGGGCTGTACTCACTATTGAGTGCCCAACTGCAGGCTACACAAACAACATATTCTGACAGTACAACGCTGCCTCCATGTCAGGGTAGTGTGAGTGGCGCCCCCCCCCCCCCCCCCCCCCCCCCCCCCCCCCCCCCGTGCATCTGCTTGCGGCAGTTAGCCGCGCCCTTGTAGACGCCCGCAGCCGCCTCCGCACTCCAGCGTCTGATGCAGGCGATGGACGCGGTTGACTCCACGTTCGTCTTCTTCAAGGAGCCGAGCTCCAGATAGCGGCGCGCCCACTTAAGCTTCTCACGCACGGTCCAACCGCGGCGCTTCCTCGTAGTGTCCTTGCTACGAGGGGAAGGTGGGCGGGTGTTGGAATTATGGAGGGTGGGGTCCTTCGGCGTGACCTTCTCAGGGAACGTGGGAATCGGGCCCGCCGCCGCTGCGTACTCATCGTCGCTGCCCAAAGTCTCGTTCACGACGATGTCGTCAGGATTCGGCGCCTTCTTCGCCTTCTTCTTAGCCGCACCCTTGCTAGATCCCGGGTCTCCGTCGGATGTCCGCTTCTTGTTGCTTGTGCGGCGACGAGCAGGGGCCTTAGCAGGGGCTTCCGCAACTTTGGCCTTTCCCTTCTCCGCAACGGTGAGTTTCGGGCGACGCTCCTCCCCCGGACTGTCGTCGTCAGAGAGCACCACGCGGGCCTGCTTCGACTTGGACTGTAGGCGATGGCGCAGCCTCCGCTTCAGTAGCGGAACGTCGTCGTCTGTCCCAAGGCTCCATGGGTCGTCGTCGCTGCTTTCACCGTCAAATAAGACGGCATCCGCAGCAACCGTGTCCGACTCTGCCACAGCATCCGCATCCGCAACTGCGGCCGCACCGTCTTCAGCCTCCTCATTCGCATCCATCGCCGCTTCCTGTGCATCCGCCGCTGCCTCCGCGTTGTCACTATTCGCATTTTCACCTCCGTCATTGTCCGAATCTCTAGCCCGCCACTCTTCCACCTCGTCGTCGCTCCCGACCGGCCGATTCCACCATTCGTCCTCCTCGATGTCGGCAGGACCTAATTCGTCAACCGAAGTGCTGTCGTCGTGGCCGTTCTCCGGCCAATCCTCCTCAGCGTCATCGCCGTTCGCTTCTTCTCCGTCGCCCCCGTCACAGCTCGCACCGGAGGCCGCGGTAGGACTTCCCGCCTTGCTCGCGTTCTTTGCCATGGCTACACGGATGTCATCGCCGGGCGAGTTAATTCGCCCGTGGTTATTCACCTGCACGTGAGGACGAGGAGTGGACGAGCCTGGGGGTACTTTGCTGCGCATGGTTAGAAAGCCTGCCGAGAGCAAGGTTGAGACGAGTATTCCTAAACCCTTGAGCACCAAATGAAGTGAGAGGCCGACTACCCCCCCCCAGCCAGAGTGCCCCATCCACAAGTGCCAAGCCGCTCCTCTACGCGGCATCTCCTCGTAGAGGACAACCCTCACGCTGCCAACGTGCTGCTAGCAGCGTTCTGGAAGCATCCCTGCGCTGCTGGCAGCAAAACGACGCTGGCAGCATCATTAGATGCTGCAAGCACAGAGGAATATTGCCAGCGGTGGCAGCTCCCTCACGTGGCAAGTGTGGGCGCTGCATGCATCACCACCGAGATCGGCCTGTTTCAATGAATCTGGTCTCTGGGTGTTTTCTACACACTTTGCAAGTGTTACAGTCAACTTCAAAAAAAATTTCATTTATAAGACTTATAAGACACCCTAAACCATCCCGTTTACAAGATAACTCAAGCATTTTTGCCCGTGTACGAGATAAGACACATATGTCTTATATCCGGGCGATGGCGGTATCATACGGTAACCCCTCCGCATAAAATACCTCCCAGAAAGAGTCATATCCATTCAAGTAAGTAAAAAAGTGTTTTGAAATCAGACCATGAACTCTTATGATAACAAGAGCCCTGTTTTTGGCGACTTCAAGTTCAAAAATCTTGAACTTGAATAATACCATGTTGTTTTCGGGCTTTAGGCATTTCAAGAATACTAACGCCCGTACTACCCAGTCCAGGCGTTTCGAGATAAGCTTTTCTCAGGATTCGGATGAGCAGCTTCATTCATTGCGATTGTTCAAAGTCCATTCTCTCGCGTGAGTTGAACTCCGTTTCACTCCTCATCCCCCACCTTGTCCACCTTCTCCTCCCCCCCGTCCGCCCGACCACACATTTCTTCTTCCTCCTCCCTTCTTGCATTCCCATCTCTGCCACCCACTCCATACTGAAACCCCAGTCCGCACGTGAAACAACTCACTAGCCCTGCCTTGGTGCGCACATAGTGCACCTGGGTTGATAGGGCTTCCAGATGCTGCCACACACACGCCGGGAAATGTTGGATGGACATGAGTGGGGCGGGGGTAATGAAAAGAGGGAAGAGTGGGTGGGAAAGACCGGGTAGAAAAGTTGGGATGACTAAGATTTGGTGGGAAAGAGTGGATGGCAGAAAGGGACAAGATTGGGAGGAGCGATGGGAAAGAGTGAGGACAAAAGGGGCTCAAATGCTTCCCCGTAGTGAGAAGGTGAGGGAGAGGAGAGTGGGTGAGAACGAAATAGATGGAGTGGAAGCTGAAAGGGGTGGGAAGTGACGCTTGCGGCATGAGTTGTGGGAAGGATATTGCACGTGAGGAAGGGGGAAAGCAAGTAAAGGGGAAATCAAGGTAAGGGGAAATCAAGGAAAGAGGAAATCAAGGAAAGGGGAAATCAAGGAAAGGGGAAATCAAGGAAAGGGGAAATCAAGGTAAGGGGAAATCAAGGAAAGGGGAAATCAAGGAAAGGGGAAATCAAGGAAAGGGGAAATCAAGGAAAGGGGAAATCAAGGAAAGGGGAAATCAAAGAAAGGGGAAATCAAGGAAAGGGGAAATCAAGGAAAGGGGAAATCAAGGAAAGGGGAAATCAAGAAAAGGGGAAATCAAGAAAGGGGAAATCAAGAAAGGGGAAATCAAGGAAAGGGGAAATCAAGGAAACGGGAATGAAAGGAAAGAGGAAAGCAGCAAGGAGGCAGGGAATGGAGATGGAAGAGAGAGTGACGGAAGGAGAGAGGAAGTGATGGAGGACAGGAGGGGAACAGAGTACAGAAAGGGCACGGAGGGGGGATTAGGAAGTGAGAGAGGAGAGTGGGAAGGGTCGACATCAAGCGGGTGGTGGGGAGGGGCGGATGTAAGGAGAGAGGGAATGAGGGAACGACGGAGCCAAAAAGGAAGGGCGAGAGGAGGGGGGAGGGGGCAAGGGGGGGTGGGGGGAGAGGGAGGGGGGGTGAGGGGGAGGTAGGAGAAGCAGGGAGGGTCGGAGTGAAAATTGGAGGGAATATAACGCCTTTCTAAGCCACAGCGGCAAAACAGGGGTTGTTTAAAGGAACGGCGGTTGCCGTTTAACCCCTTTTGTATAAGGCCGCATGACTTACACCCGTCCGTCCTCGTTGGCGCCTTCGCAGGCGCTGTGCCTTGGAGTTCTTGCTATGACCATTTGGTTGGAGGCGGAGAAAATGACCTGTCGAGATTCGGACTCCAGGTTCTGATTCACTCTGAACACTAAACCCTAAACGCTCTGCAAGACCACTGGGCCAGAATAGGGGTGCTTCAGCTGCGCAGCGGTCCCATTCTTCGTGTAAGCCCGGAGGCGTTACACAGAGAGAGGGTGGAGCAAAGGAGGGAAGGATTGGAAGAAAGTGCGACCGAGTAAGAGTGAAAAAAAGTAGACGGGTAAGTTGCGAGGAGACGGGGACGCCCACTCACCCCCGTCATGCGTGCAGCCGAGCCATCTGATGTGCGAGCTCGCTTGCACCTTTCCGTCCGCCGTGCTTGCAACTCGAGCTGCACATCTTCCTGCCACGCCTTTCGAATCGTCCTCAACAAGGCCAGCAACTCCTCGGCCGCGTCGTTCAACTCCCTCACCTCCTCCCTCGCCCTCGCATTGTCGCCCAGCAAATCCATCAGCTCCTCCTCCTGCGCCTCTGCCCTCGCCACAGCTACAGCAACTTGCTTCTCCATATCCCTCATCGTATTTCTGTCTTCCTCTCTCAACCTAGTAATTGCTTCCTCCCTCTCCCTCGCTTCCTCTCTCAATATCTTTTCCCTCTCCGCCATTCTCGCCGTTACCTCAACCTCCACGGCGCGCAGCACGCACCATCGGCTCACACCCATCAGCTGCTCCAACGACAGCTCCTCCGCACTCCCCGCCCCTCCGCCCATCATGCTGCTCCCCGTCCCTCCGCCCATCATGCCGCTCCCCGCTCCTCCGCCTATCATGCCGCTCACGCGCATCGCCACGTCGGCCTGCCGCGGCCGCGTATGCCTTCCGCCTCCGCCCTCTTATCTCGATTCCGCACCTCCCGCCTCCGCGCCTTCAGCATTCTCCGCTGTCGCGACCTCCTCCACCAGCATCTGCGCCTCTCCGCTATTCTGCGGTTCTTTGCCTTTCTGAGGCTCTTCGCCTTTCTGCGCTGCCTCTCGCCGCCTGCATTGCCGCAAGGAATCAAACCGTTCGCCATCTATCGTGAGACGTTGCTGCTGCTCCGGGGTAACATGACAAAACATTTGCTGACATTCTCTCTGCGTTTGTAAAGCCTCTCTTATCTGCTTTACCGCCCCCGTACGTGCTGCTTCCATTGCACCTCACCCTACCAGAGCCGTGCAAGGGCCGGAAAGGCGGCCCTGAAACGCGACTCTGAAATGCTATCGAGCGGTGAGAACGAACTAGGAGTAACGATCAGAGACGAAGCAAACGAAATTACAAAATAATATTGCCATAGAAACACGAACTGGGGAAAATGGGATGCCAACAGTGCTAACGGCATGTGATAATGGCGCTTGTAGAAATTGGAGGGAATGGAAACTGAGAAGGTGCGGAACTGGGGGAGGGAGGGAGGGGAGGGGCAATGCGGGAATTGGCGCTTGAATTTTCGAACATTCAGAACTGCAGAATTTAGGAGCGCCTGTATTTGTTTTGAGGATAGCGGAGCTGAGAAATTAGAATCCTGACAAAAAAGCGCTTCTAAAAAAAATCGCGTCATACACATGTGCAGATGGAGATTATGAAGTTCCATAACATACAAAATGAAATAGTTATATGGGCCTAATCAACGAATGCGGGGTTCTTTGCAGTTTCCTGTCGTCAACTTGAAGAAAAGGAGGTGGGTTGGGGATCAAGGATGTTTTTATCAGGCCAAATTGGTCGGATGGTTCGATATTCAGACATGTTGTTTTACATTACTATATTCTTCAAGGAAAAAAAAAAAAAAAAAAAAACAAGAGGCGACGAAATCGTCTTAGGGTTGCGAAGAATCATTTGTCAATATATTTTTTGTAGTTTTTTTTAGTTAATAGATAGCAAATAATGTTGGAATATATAGCTGAATTGATATTGTCATTTAGTATAAAAGAAGGTTGTCTTGTCAGAACATTATAGCTTACTTATTTGTGTAGGCTATAGTGGGGTATCCCATAGGGGGTACAACCCAATTAGGGTTTCATATTTGTACTCACTTCATTCATAGTTCATTTCATTCTCGTTCAGTTTTCCTCATGGTATCGAGCAGGTTCCCATGTGGGAACTGTGCCTAGGGCCCACCACTCGATTATTTTTTTTCCTGCCCGAAGCGCACTCATCCCGAGTCGCGCCTCGGGCCACTCCTTCCCCGAGCCGCCCTAGCGGCCGGCCTTACCCTCGCGGCCCCGCCACCCAGTGAACGCGGCCCCGCCGCCTCTTCTCTAGCGGCCTCGCCGCCCTGCTCTCGCGGTCCTCGCCGCCCTTACTCACGCGGCTCCGCCGCCCCTGATCTCGCGGCCCCGTCGCCCCTGCTCAAGCGGCCCCGCCGCCCCTGATCTCGCGGCCCCGCCGCCCCTGAACTAGCGGCCCTCGCCGCCCCTGATCTCGCGGCCCCGCCGCCCAAGCGCTCGCGGCCCCCGCCGTCCCTGATCTCACGGCCCCGCCGCCCTAGCGCTCACGGCCCCGCCGCCCCTGATCTCTCGGCCCCGCCGCCCCAGCGCTCCCGGCCCCGCCGCCCCTGATCTCGCGGCCCCGCCGCCCCAGCGCTCCCGGCCCCGCCGCCCCTGATACGCGGCCCCGCCGCCCCAGCGCTCGCGGCCCCGCCGTCCCTGATCTCACGGCCCCGCCGCCCCAGCGCTCACGGCCCCGCCGCCCCTGATCTCGCGGCCCCGCCGCCCCAGCGCTCCCGGCCCCGCCGCCCCTGCTTTCGCGGCCCCGCCGCCCCAGCGCTCCCAACCCCGCCGCCCCTGATCTCGCAGCCCTGCCGCCCCAGCGCTCCCGGCCCCGCCGCCCCTCTTACGCGGCCCCGCCGCCCTAGCGCTCCCGGCCCCGCCGCCCCTGATACGCGGCCTCGCCGTCCCTGATCTCACGGCCCCGCCGCCCCAGCACTCACGGCCCCGCCGCCCCTTGCTCTCGCGCCGCCCAACTGCAGCAGCCGAGCCACCCAACTGCAGCAGCCGAGCCGCCGGAACGCCGACAGCAGTGCAGCCGAGCCGCCCTTGCACCCGAGCCGCCCGGCAGCCGAGCCGCCCCGCCCGAGCCGCCCTACCGCCGAGCCGCCTGGGAGCCGAGCCGCCCGGGAGCCGAGTTGCTGAGTAGCCGAGCCGCCTTTTCTACCAAGCCGCCCGACCTGCCCTGCCCGGTGAGCACTGTACCGCTGTCACTGCGTGCCCTTCCCCTACTGCTTGCACTGCTTCACTGTCGTCGTCATGGCTACCCCTACTCTCCTCGCTTTTGACGCTGAGGGTCGAGCCATAGACTTCGAGGTCTGGCTCGACGACCTGCAGCTGTTTTTACAGTGCGATAGGGCGGACGGTCTGTCTCTCTTTGACCTCACCTCTACCGCCGTCCCTTCCCCTGCTGCTGATGCTGACGCCACTGTTCGCTCACAGTGGGCCACGCGCGATGCTGCTGCACGTCTTGCTGTGCGTCGCCACTTGCCTACCGCTGAGCGCGCGCACTTTAGCCAGTACAAGAGTGCCCAGACCTTGTACGACGCTGTAGATGCGCGCTACTCCTCCCCTGCCACTGCTGCACTGAGCCGCCTCATGCTCCCCTTCCTCTTCCCTGACCTTGCCGCCTTTCCCACTGTCGCTGATCTCATCACGCACCTCCGCACTAGTGACACTCGCTACCGCGCTGCGCTTCCTACTGACTTCTGCGCCAAGAACCCCCCCCCCATGTACATCACTCTCTACTTCTTAGTCACTCGCCTCCCTGACTCCCTTCGTGTAGTCCGGGACCACTTCCTCGCAGTCTGTCCCACCACCCTCACAGTCGACAGCCTAGAGAAGGCCCTCCTTGCGGCAGAGAAGAGCATAGTCGCTGTAGGTGCCTCTCGAGGTGACCCCCGCGCCCCCATCTTTGAGGGGTGTTCTCCTTCCCCTCTCCTGCCCTCTGTCGCCTCTGCCGCTGCGGCCGACCTCGTTGGTCTTGAGTCGGTCGGTGCGGCGTCTGCCCCTAGCGAGAGACGCCGCTCTGGCAAGGGCAAAGGGGGCAAGGGAGCGGGTGAGGCCAGTGGGGGCGGTGGAGGTGGAGGTGGAGGCGGCGGAGGGAGTGGGGGTAGCGGTGGAGGTGGTAGCGGGGGTGGGGGTGCTAGTGGCGGCAGTGGAGGCGGGGGTGGCGGCGGCGGTGGCGGTGGTAGCGGAGGTGGCGGAGGTGGCGGCGGTGGAGGCGGAGGCGGGGGCGGTGGAGGCGGAGGCGGGGGTGGCGGAGGTGGAGGTGGTCGGAGTGGAGCTTCGCAGCGGAGCAGCACTGGGGGAAGTCAGCGCCAGCAGCAGCAGCAGCACCAGCAGCGTTCTCGCGACGTCCCCACCCCTCAGCAGCTCCGTGAGTGGTACACGCAGCGTCAGCGCGGTGGGGGTTTTGGTCCCTGCACCTACGTTCTCCGCACTGGCGACCGCACTGGAGAGCAGTGTGGGGGCACCCACACCGCCCAGCGCTGCTTTGGCCGCCTGACGGACGCTTGGCGCCAGCAGTTCCCGGAGGCCGCGGACATCCCCCGCTGGGGAGAGCTGTCTAGGGCTGGTGTAGCTATCTTTGATCTTGATTTTGATGCTATCCTTGCTGCCATGTATGCTGTGACTATTAGTGATGAGGGTGACTGTTACCGGTGTTTCCCGCCCGACCCGGGCATTGGTACTGCTGCTCCAGGTGCCGGTGAGGCTTCTGCTCTTGGTGCTAGTGCGTCTGTGCTCTCAGGTGCTGGTGAGGCTGCTCTCTCAGGTACTAGTGCGTCTGCGCTCTCAGGTACTGCGTCGGCTTCGGCCTCCCACACCTTCACTCTTGACTCTGGAGCGTCTCGCTCTTTCTTTCGGGACCGCACCACACTCACGCCGCTTAGTCGGCCGGTTGCGGTTTCCCTGGCTGACCCCTCTGGGGGTCCTGTCCTGTCTCGCTTCTCCACAGTCCTCCCATGTCCGGCGGCTCCCTCTGGCACCCTGTCTGGTCTTTACCTCCCCTCGTTCTCTACGAACTTGGTGAGTGGTGCTGACCTACAGGATGCGGGAGTCCACCAGTTCACCCCTACTCGTCAGCGAGTGACGCACTGCACAGAGGCTAGCACGGGTCGTCACCTGGCCAAGTTTACACGTCAGCCAGGGTCGAGCCTGTACACACTGACCACTGCTTCTCCTCCAGGTGCTGAGTCTGGTAGGGTCCCTTCGTCTGGTCAGGTGTTTGCTGCAGCGTCCAGGTCTGGTCCTGAGTCTGCCCCCTGTTCGTGTCGCCGTCTGTCTCACGAGACCCTCCTCTGGCACCACCGCCTTGGCCACCCCTCTCTGCTTCGGCTCAGAGGCATGGCCTCCCGTCTTCTTGTGTCTGGTCTCCCCCAGTCCCTCCCTCCCCTTCCTCAGGGCCCTGGCCCTGCCTGTGTCCCCTGTGTCGAGGGGCGCCAGCGAGCTGCCCCTCACTCCTCCCAGTTTCCTCTGACAGAGGCTCCGTTGCAGACGCTTCACATGGACGTGTGGGGCCCTGCCCACGTCCGTGGACTCGGTCACGAGCGCTACTTCCTGTTGGTGGTTGACGACTACTCGCGTTACACCACAGTCTTCCCCTTGCGCAGCAAGGGTGATGTCACTGAGGTGCTGATCGACTAGATCCGCGCAGCTCGTCTCCAGCTCAGGCAGAGCTTTGGCTCGGACTTTCCTGTGTTGCGTCAGCACTCGGACAGAGGCGGAGAGTTCTCCTCTGGCCTTCTGCGTGCCTACTGTCGTGCGCGAGGCATCCGCCAGACCTTCATGCTTCATGACTCCCCGCAGCAAAATGGGATTGCAGA